AGAGCATAACCTCAAAGGTTCTTTTTAACCTCGGCTGATCTATAGGGCAGTTTTGATATCGTCCGAGCCTACACTCGCGTGTGCCGCTGTGCCTTATGGCTCCTCCTGCAACGTTTAGGTGTCCCCTCCTCTTTTCTCAATGTGCTCAAAGCCTTGCATGACCACACGCAGTTTCAAGTCTTCATCCACAATGGGTATTCCACGCCTTGGCTCACTGACCGTGGCCTCCGTGAGGGTTGCCCTTCTTCCCCGGTTCTGTTCAACATCTTCCACACCTTTGTTCTGCGTACTTTCCGTTGTCGGAGAGCAGCTAATGCCTCTGCCCAAGGCATGGTGCCCGGCCTGTCTTGGGCTTTTAAAGTTGATGGTCGATTAACTCGCTCCGGAGCAGGTAAGACCTCTTCTCGCGGGGTCCACTCGGTTGTCCTGGGCGACGTCGAATATGCTGATGACACTCAGATTTTCGGTGATCAAGAAGAGGTGAGCTTGGCTGAAAATATCTTTGTACAAACATTGCACGATGGGGCGCAACAGGAACACCCGGATAAACGAGAAAAGCTCATTCTCTGCGCAGGCGGCAGGGGTGCCACGGAAGTCCTTAACCAATTTGAGCGGAAGACGCTCAAACACCTGGGCGCCTTCCTCTCTGACGCCGCTGACTACTGGCCCGACAACAAGGCTCGGGTCCGGGCTGGATTTTTTGCGGTTCGGCGCATTGCCCGGTTGTGGTCCCTCGGCACCCATCGTGGCCGGGGCAAACCTGGTGGGTTGGCAACAGCACGTCGCCTGCGCGTTATGCGCAGTGTTCTCGAAGGTACTCTATTGGCCGGCGGCAAATCCCGTGTCTGGTCTACCACTCAAGTTCGCAAAGCGCAACAGGTACTCTTTTGGGATTCGCCGCGCACTGGGCCTTGACGCCTTCAATATGCGCGAGTTCAATATTGCTGACGCGGCTTTGCGAAGACTCGTGCACTGGGATACTTTTGAACATCTACTCCATCGCCAAGTCCTGCGTTGGGTCCGCCATATCGCCCGCATGCCAATTTCCAGACTGCCCAAGATTGCTCTCTTTGGGTGGCCAGAGGGGATGACTAGACATCGTTCCTGCCGCTTCACCTTCCCCATGTGGGTCAAATGGGTCCTTGCGAAACACCAAATCTCACATATGGATTGGTTTCGTCGGGCGCAGAAGCCATCTGATAATTGGCTACGGCTGATCAACTCCCTCTTACCCCGCCAAGGCCCGTCCCGTGACGACGACCGCTTGATCAACAGCTGGCGGCCGGGGCTGCCCCTGCCCCCTGACCCTGCTGCCATGCTCACCGATGCCGCGCCTCCCCAGGTAGATCCTTTTTCCGACGCTGAGGAGACATGCATCGCTCCCTCCTGGCCATGCCCGGCATGTCCTTACGTGGGCGCTTCTGCCAAGGCCCTCCAGACGCATTATGACAACCTCCACGCCCCTCAGGACCCCGCTGTCACCACTGTCTTCCACTCCATGTGCCCCAAATGCAGTCAGGTCTTTGTCACTGCGCGAGAAGTCCGCCGTCACCAGTGTCCTGTCCTCCCTCAAACCGTGGACGATATTCCTGTCATCCCGGCTTTGATACCTTCTTCGGTGCCGCCTGCTTTAGTTCCTAACTCCCCCATGGGGTGGGCCCTCTATACTGACGGCGCTGGACCAGACGACCGTCATCCGGGCGCGGGTTGGGGCGTGGCAATCTGGGAGGGCAGTCTCTCTTCTGACCTCCCCAACTTTGAGTTGTTCGGCCCTGTTCCTACAGCAGAATGGGACGCCCGCTGGCTCGGTGCACGGACTGCCTCCAACAATACTGGGGAACTAACAGCAGTCGCGGAAGCCCTCCTCTGGTTAGAAAAGGAAGCTCCTGGCCCCGCATGTGCTCCTGCTACCATATGGTTCGATTCCACTTACGCCCATGACATAATCACTGGTATCTCTGCCCCTGCGGCTAACGAGGAACTTGCTACCACTGCTGTCGACATTTATCGCCGTATTTCCACTCTCCGCGTCATACAGTGGTGTAAGGTTAAAGGCCACTCAGGCAACCCGGGTAACGACTATGCTGATGCCTTGGCTGACAAGGGTCGAGCCGGTGAACAAACCCGACACTCCCCTCGATGGTTACTGCCTGTCGGTTCTCCGGCCCCTTGTGATCCCCTGCTCACCGACCACTGTTGGCGATGCGGTAAGGTTTACACTGGCCTCTCCCACGCCCGGCAGCTTGCGGGCCATGAGGCCTACTGCAAGGTCCCAGGTGCGCCGCCTGCTTCCATCCCTTGTCGCCGAGGCTGTGGCCGGTCCTTCGAATGGCGCTTTGCGGAAGGTAAGCGCAAACAGGCCCATCATGCCAGAGAATTTCGCCACACGCATGAAAAAATCTGTCGAGGCTCTGAGGCCCTGACTCGCGTCTGCCCCACCTGTGACCTGCCCTTCTCGGCATCTACTTCCGACGAAATGATTCTACAACACCGCAACGGGTAAGACGAAAAGAGAGCAAGGGTGGCCCTGCCGGTGCGAGCGCCCACTGGTCTCCTGCGAGCAGGACCAGAGCCCCTGAAACAGGGGGGCAAGAGTACCCAAAGACAGGCCCACGGTCTCCTGCGAGCAGGACCGTGGGCTAGCGCTTACAGGATTTTTCGTGTTGAATGCGACTGGAGATACCGTTACAGCGCTTTTTACAACGTAGACAGGTGAGGTTGGCCTCAAGTGAGCCACGGCATGATGCTTCGTGTTTGATTCGGGCGTCAATGGTTTGCGAAGTGGCGGAGCAGAGAGAACAGGTACGATTAGCCTTGGAGGAGCCGCGACAGACGTCCAGGTGGGTTTGACTCTGGATGGAGGTGAAGCTGTCCAGTCCCAAGTCTGTCTTTCCTGCTTGCCCCGCTGCCCTCCCCCGCTCCTGTGCCTCCTTTCTCCTCATGTCGTTGTGCCCCGAGCTTCTACGTCTGTACGTTTACGGTAGTTGTCCTTTCCTTTTTCTTGCCTCCCTTTCGAACACTGCACAGCGGACCCGCTGTTGATCATGCGGATCAAGGCTGCGATTCATGTAGTTTTGAAGCCTGTGGTTATCATTGGCCTTCCCCGGGCCTCAGAGACCGGGTGGCCCGCCTTGAAGAGTCCCAGTCTGATATGCTAGCTCGCTACCGTATCCGCCTGTCCGGCTGCGCGACCTCGGTGCCGGTGCTTGGACTTTTTTAAACGGAGACCGTAGATTTTGGGCCCTCCGGGACGAGCTTTTGTCGTTCGGCCTGGCTGTTTTGGAAGGTCCCCTGCAAGCTGGTTTTGTGGTGAGTGAGGCCTCCCTGTCTCACGTGATACTCTGTTTTTTCTTTTTCATTTCCTTTCCCGAATCGAGAATCCCTTCTGGCAGGTTCTATTTTCATTTATTTATTTATTTTATTTTAAAAAAAAAACGTTTTTAATGCTTGTTCTTAGTGCCACCTGTTTTACTAATCCACCTTCGGTTCCTTATAGCTTGTACTCCCCTCGACGGCCTCTACTGGTTCTCGTTTTCCTTTTACATAACTTGTCGTCAGTCGGATATAACTTGTGTTGACTCGATATGCCCCTTGGAGGATCTACCTTGGACTATGGGCACTGGCTGCGCTTCATACACTCAGGACTGCCCCAGGAGGCCAAAACTAGCCCGTTACTCGTCCACTAGCCTATGGGGCCACATGTAGTCCACCGCTACCCTGCTGACATGGATGTGGTTGATGTTTCATATACACTGCAACCCACTAACCAAACTTCCGACTCCCGAGCAGTTTGGATCCAAGCACTACCAGCCCCCACGGCCGTATACTTGCTAGCCCGCGTACTTGCAATGACCGCTCCCCCACAGACTCTTGAGAACCGAGTTGCAAAACTCGAAGAGTTTCAGTCCGACATGATGGCTTGCTACCGCATCCGCTTGACCGGATGCCCAACCCTGGAGAAGACATGCTTGGAGATTTTTAATGGGGACCGCAAGTTTTGGGTCTTGAAAGACGAGCTTCTGACGCTTGTCTTGAAAGATTTAGAGGGACCCCTGCAGGCCGTTTTTCCCGACACTTCCAAGTTAGCCAGCGTCTTGGGGGAGCTCAAAGAGGTCCTCGGTACACCGCCTGCGCTGCAGGGTGTCTTTCCCGTAGGAGGAAAGTGGGGAGAACATGTAGCCCTGGATGTCAAGTGGAAACCTGGACTGATTGGCCTCCGGGCTACGGATTTGGTCAAAATGGTAATTGGCCCACAGCTTCGTGAAGCTTCCACAGAGACCAAGGTCTGGGTCCCCCTAAGTTCCGGAGAAATGGCAAGGCGCCGAAAGCGCAAGGCCAGTCCACGCGCCGCTTCTCGAGAGAATACGCGCGGTCCGGCACGCCGGTCCCGCCGACGCTGAGTGCCTCACGGCCTTCCATTTTCCAGCTACTCTGACGTTGTCAGTTTTTTCCAAAAAGTGCGCACGCTCGCCGTAGTCTCCTGTTGCTGTTATTGGCTGCGTGTTACCCAGCCTGCGCCCCCTGGCTCGTGGCTCTGCGTCCGCGGTGTACGCCGTCGCCCACCTCCTCCCCCTTCGTCGCTCTTCTTTTCCCTGCCCCTCCCCCCTTGGCTCCTGGTTCCCCCCCCCCCCCCCCAGTTACGTGCGTGTTTGCTTTCGGGCCACCGCTGGCAGCGAGGGTTGGTTCTCTTTCACCTGACGCTGCTCAATAGGAGACTCGCGGGCTCTTTCCAGAGCGACACCGCAGACCTCGACCTCGACCTGCTCTGCGGGATCCACGCTCTCAGCTGGGTCATCCCCATCTTTGGTTCGCTCAAACACCGGATATGCAGGTGGCAAGATGCGCAAACCTGGAATCGGAGGTGCTGAAGACGAAGCTGGAATGTCAGCTAAGTATATAACTATTCGAAACGCCGGTTATCCCGCCCGTACCACCCATCAGCGCTGCAGCAGCTGTTCCCGGTACAGGGAAGAGGTGGTGGTGGTGGTGGAGGAGGAATCAACGTTGTTGGCGGTGGAGGAGGCGGTGGAACCGGAACTCCTACAATTGGGCCCGAACTCATGACAATTGGTGCCATGGTCTTAGGGGCGTTAAGCAGGGATTGCAAATGACCAGCTAACAACTTTACAGTGTCTTGAAGGCTGGAGACTTGTGCTTCTAGGCTTGCAACTTGTCCTGCATGACCGTCGGCCGGCGCAACACTACCCTGAGGCGTGCCACGGACAGAGCCTATGTAGAATTCCTGTGGTCAATGGGAACCTTTGGGAGTGAGGGGCAAGGATGGTTGTGCATCTGGAGGCAACAGTCCGGAGGAAATTTGAGCTGCGTACCAACCGCAAAAGGGTTACCCTCACTTGGGTCTTTGCCATAGGCCATTACAGGCGTAGACAATTGGCTTCCGGTCAGGATTTGGGTCATCGGTGACTTTGGTGAGTTGGGCGCCGGCGAACGTTCTGCCAACTGTTGTTGTTCTAACACGGCATTATGTTGTTGTAAGTTACGAACGGTGTCCTGTTGAGCTGACGTGTATTGCTCAGTTTGCTGTTGAAGTTGTTGGACGCGATGCCTCGCGTCAGCTTCAACCCCCCTAACCCGTTGCTGGGCTCTGGAGTTCAACTGGGCTTGAAACTGCTCTCTCTCTCTCCTGGTCAATTGTGGCGGCAAATGCTTGAGCTTGTTGTTGTGTGTTACGAACATCAGCATCGGCATGTGCTACATACGCTTCGGCCCTAGCCCTAGTGTCATGTAAGGTGGCCTCTGCTTGTTGTAGCGCTTGTGTTGCTTGAGTTTCAACGAACGATGCATAGTGTCTGGCCTGGTTGGCCTCGAGCGTCTGCTGCTCTGCAACTGTTGCCGCCTGTTGTGCGATTAGGGATGCGTTGTGTGCACTTTGTATTGCAGCACCAGCAACGAAAGCGGCGGCCGGCATGTTACGGGTCGGATCCATGTAGTTACTAGGCCTACTACGGTTAGGCGGACTATAGGGGTCCTAGGTAGTGGGCGACCAGTTTGGGGATCGAACCATTGTATGGGTACCTGTTCATTACTCGGTTCACTCTTCCCGACCCGGAACGTCTGCGACGAGTAGCTGGCCTTTGCTCTGGCGTGGAGGGCGAAGACTCCATTGTGGTCGTAGTCCTGGGACGGTGACCGGTGGCGCTGCGAGCGACGAACCCCTCAGGCGAGTAACGACGGACATGGCGTGGGTAAGGAAATTTCCCTTGAATGGGGTCCTCAAATCTAATGGGGTCCTCAAACTATGTCCTGTGGTTTCACTTCCATACAGCGCATTGCGATGCGTTGCAATTTGGATTGCGCCATGTGACGCCACATGGTGGCAACCGCATGATGTTCCAATGTCTAGCAGTTGAACAGGTTTTCAGTGTATTCTTTGTATGATGCGTGATGGCACTTGCTCCGCTGCCAAAACACCGAAAAGGTGCTGACATCTCCACAACTCCCAATTGAATGTGATCACTGGCTTAGTACACCAGCGGTTCTGAAACCGTTCGAGCACAGATCAGTCAAGATCAGTCAGGCGCCAGCAGGAAATTTTGACGTTGGAGCCGAGGGTTTCTGGTTCAGGTCTAAGCGTTGGGGTTGATTGACGAAATACTTTTATTAGAGGTTACCTACTATCTTGAGACCCTCACGCCACTCTTTTGTAGAAACAACCCAAGAAGCTTTTGAGCTGCGCTACAGAAATACGCCGGCATTCTCCTTGAATAGAACATTCTCACAGTGACAAAAAGACACTGCGTCAAATCTTCTTTCGTGCCATCTTGACATTCAGCAGCGTGAAAACATACCCACGGTATGCGCGCGTACCGTTTCACTGGGCATCAAAAAAAAGTGCTCCGCATGTATCTGTATTCTCCTTGAATAGAACATTCTCGCAGTGACAAAAAGACACTGCGTCAAACATTCTTTCACGCCATCTTGACATTCAGCAGCGTGAAAACATACCCACGGCATGCGCGCGTACCGTTTCACTGGGCATCAAAAAAAGGTGCTCCGCATGTATCTGTATGTATGTGTGAAGTATGTAAATGTCTGAATAATGTGTGTACGTTTACTTCCAAAAGATTGAATTTGCATGTATGCATATTTACGCACGTCGCGCGCGCACGTATGCATGTATGTATGCGTGCGTGTGCGCACACGCATGTATGCCTGTCTGTATGGATGCACGCACGCGCATGTATGCATGTGTGTACGCATGCGGTACTGCGGTACAATGTATGAACATGTTTGCAATTAAATGTGGGTTCATGAATGCATGTTTGCTTGCGCGCGCGCATATGAGTGATTCAAAACAAAACGCGAAATGTGTGCTCTGGGGTATCTATTTACTTGGACGTGTAAGAATATAAATCTGCGAAGGTACATATGGGACGAAGTATTTTGGGATATTTTGGGCAATATTATACCAGGTAGTAGGTGTTTGCATGCACGCATGCATGCATGCATGCACGTATGGATGAATGTATGTAAGTAATCAAA